TCTCTACTAAAAATACAAAATTAGCCGGGCATGGTAGCACCTGCCTGTAATTCCAGCTACTTGGGAGGCTGAGGCAGGAGAATCGCTTGAACCTGGGAGGCGGAGGTGGTGGTGAGCTGATATCATGCCATTGCACTCCAGCCTGGGCAACAAGAGCGAAACTCCATCTCAAAAAATCAAAACAAAACAAAACAAAAAAACCTGAATAAAAGAAATAGTAAATAGAATATAATACGACTCATGAACGCTGAAGGAGTGGGGGTAATCGTTATGTCCAAATAATCTCCTAGTTGTAACTTCTGTGACTGCAGGGGTCATGGAGTCACCAGTCCCCTTTCTGCCAGACGTGGTGCTGGCCAATCTCCTTCACACGATAGCCAGATCTTTTAATATCTGTAAAAATGACTGCAAAATTGAAATGTGTGCCCTGCTTTCTAGCCTCTGGATAGACTTATTTTACTAAGCTCAGTTCTTTCAAGGTTGCATCTATCCAAGTGTAGATCGCCAGCTCGCTGGATGGTAGGTTCCCCCGGGAGAACTCGACCATTCGGTGGCGGCGGCTGTCACTGGCGGCCGCGGGCCTGTCTTGTAGTGATCAGCTCCTGAAGCTCCTTCTTAATTTCCTCCTGGCTAATGCGCGACTCCACCGCCATCTTTCTCCTACGGCCTCAGACTTTGAATAAAAACAACAAAAACAAGTTGGTCGCGGTGGCTCACGCCTATAATCCCAGCACTTTGGGAGGCCGAGGAGGGCCGATCACGAGGTCGGGAGTTCGAGACCAGCTTGACCAACATGGTGAAATCCGTCTCTACTAAAAATACAAAATTACCCCGGCGTGTGCCTGTAATCCGAGCTACTCAGGAGGCTGAGGCAGGAGAATCGCGTGAACCCGGAAGGTGGAGGTTGCAGGGAGCTGAGATCACGCCATTGCACTCCAGCCCAGGCAACAAAAGCGAAACTTCATCTTATAACAAACACAAAAATTGTCCCTGGGCGGGCGCTGTAGCTCACCCCTGTAATCTCAGCTACTCAGGGTGCTGACACTGGAGGATGCTGGAGCCCTGGAGGTTGAGGCTGCAGTGAGCTGTGATGGCGTCACTGCATTCCACTTGGGTTACAGAGGGAGACGCGGTCTCTTCAACAACAACAACAACAAATGTTCATTTACTAACTGTATAACCTCAATCAAGTCTTTTAATTTCTCTGAGCATCTGCTTTTAGCCTCAAATGAGGTAAATGGTGAAATAGTTGGTACCTAGGGGACGCTAAAAAAAAAAAAAAAGCCTGCTCATTCTGCCCTAAGTGAAAAGGACACTGAGAACTATGCCAAATAAAAATACATTACATAAAGGCATGAAATTACAATGCTTAGGGAGAAATGTGTTCTATGTAAAATTAATTAAGAAAAAATCAGGAGATCAATGGGAGAGGATTGTTTTAACGACCTGTATTTGAGAACTGTGTAATGCATATTTACTAACATGTTGTGGTAAGTTGTTTATATCATCACTTAGTTACCAGCTATGTTACACGGTTTAAGAGAAAATGAACTTGGTCAGGTGCAGTGGCTCACGCCTGTAGTCTCAACACTTTGGGAGGCTGAAGTAAGAGAATTGCTTGAGGTCAGGAGTTGGGGACCAGCCTGGGCAACATAGTGAAACCCCTTTTCTACAAAAAACTTAAAAATTAACTGGGCATAGTGGTGCACACCTGTAGTCCCAGCTACTTGGAGATTGAGCAGGGAGAATTGCATAAGCCCAGGATTTTGAGGTTTCAGCGAGCTATGATAGTGCCACAATACTCTAGCCTGGGTGACAGACTGAGACCCTGTCTCAAAAAAATACAAAAAGTATATTAAACTAAAAATAAAATGTGAGCTATATTAAATAAAACAATTAGAAGAAATATACATGTAAATTTAAAATGAACGGAAAATAATGTAATGGCCATGGAAAACAGGTAAATATCTTTAAGATGCTAGCCAGTAAAATTTGAATCCTGTAAATTATTCAAAAATCACTTCTAGAAAGGAAAACCTTCTATGATAAATGATAAACAAAATAGTGCACTATGTGATAGGCAAAAGGGCTTTAGCAACCTTCATACGTGGTTTACACATGGCAATATAAATAAAAATTAAAGAAGCAAGCAAAACTCTGATAAATTTGAAATGTTTTGCCGCTTTATTTGTATTTAATTCCCTGAAGTGTATGACTGTATTGGATACAGCTACTTATCCCTGTAGTAAAATTTTATTTACAAATGTCCACATTATAAATACTTCTAGAACTATTTGCATTTTGGAAAGTTTTCATGGCTTTCCCTCACCAACAATTATTTTTCCTTTTTTAATGGAAAATCTAAAAATTACACAAAAATAGGAATATAATAAGTCCCCATATACTCATCACTAGCTTCGACTGTCATCAACATTTTTTTATTCCTGTTTCATCTATATTCCCATCCACCTTATTTTATGTCATTTTATTTTATTTGAGGTGGAGTCTTGCTCTGTCACCCAGGCTGGAGTGCAGTGGTGCTATCTCGGCTCACTGACATCTGCTTCCCGAGTTCAAGCAATTCTTCTGCCTCAGCCTCCCGAGTAGCTGGGACTACAGGCGCCTGCCACCATGCTTAGCTGATTTTTGTATTTTTAGTAGAGATGGGTTTCACTATGTTGGCCAGGCTGGTCTCGAACTCCTGACCTCAAGTGATCTGCCTACCTCAGCCTCCCAAAGTGCTAGTTTACAGGTATGAGCCACTGCACCCAGCCTATGTTATTTAATTTTATCACAATTTTTGCTGGAGTATTGTAATGCCAATCTCCAAATTGTATCAACTCACCCATGAATACTTCAGTCTCAACAAATTTGATCAGCATCCAATCACTTCTTCAATACCTACAATAGGCCGGGCGCGGTGGCTCATGCCTGCAATGCCAGCACTTTGGGAGGCCGAGGCGGGCGGATCACCCGAGGTCGGGAGTTTGGGACTAGCCTGACCGACATGGAGAAACCCCATCTCTACTAAAAAAAATACAAAATTAGCCGGGCGTCGTGGTGCATGACTGTAATCACAGCTACTGGGGAGGCTGAGGCAGGAGAATCACTTGAACCCAGAGGGCGGAGGTTATGGTGAGCCAAGATGGCGCCATTGCACTCCAGCCTGGGCAACAAGAGCAAAACTCTGTCTCAAAAAAAATAAATAAATAAAAATAAAAAATAACTACGATAAGCCAGCTACTGTGCAAGGTGCTGAGATGCACAGATGGATGAGGATGTACCCTGCCCTTGAAGCTATGAGAGGAAAAGATTGCAATTCTGTCCATATGCTCATCCAGGTCATTAATAAAGGAATGAAACAGGTCAGGTGGAGCCAAGGACAATGCCCCATTATTGTGCCCAACCAGGAACCTAGCCCTTCATCTGGCTAGGAATGGTGTAATGAGACCTAAGAAAATGACCTAGGAAAACTCACAGCTGAGACTTATTAGCAAGGGGGTCCAAGGCAGTATCCAAGGGAATGATCACTTAGCCGGCAGAAGGAGCAAGAGGACCCAGCAAAAGAAATGGACAGGTAAGCAGAGAAGTAGAGGAAGAAACTGGGTCTGTCAAGGCCTTTGAGTGCTTTTGGCTAAAATATATAAAATATTTTAATTGCTATTTTTTGGTAATATTCATGTAAAGGATGTAGTTTTATGAGGCTTGATGGACTATTGGGACAATATATAAGGCACTATAACACTGTATTTTGATCTGAAGTCAATTACTTATATCAGAACTTCATTTTTCCATATGCCGGGGACAGCCATAATACAGCTCTATCACACATGGGCCATTCTTAGAATGTATTGCATCATTCATATGTTCGTTCATTCACAATAACAAATTAAATAGGCCGGGCACGGTGGCTCATGCCTATAATCCCAGCACTTTGGGAGGCTGAGGCGGGCCTATCACTTGAAGTCAGGAATTCGAGACCAGCCTGGCCATCATAGTGAAATCCTGTCTCTACTAAAAATACAAGAATTACCCAGGCATGGTGGCAGGCGCCTGTAATCCTAGCTACCTGGGAGACTGAGGTGCGAGAATCACTTGAACCCGAGAGGCAGAGTTTGCAGTGAGCCGAGATCGTGCCATTGCACTACACCCTGGGAGACAGAGACTCTGTCTCAAAATAAATAAAGAAATAAAGAAATAAAGAAATAAATATATAAATGTAAATTAATTAACTATAAAGACATCAGAATAAGAGCAGAGAGAGGAACACGAGTCCTCTTTTGTACAAGGTAGAGGGATATATCACTCTTCAATGTACATAGTTTACAGGAAGCCAAGGTTTCATCTGATAACTAAGAATGTGGAGGAAAAGAATACTGTAGATATAATTATTCATTGGTTATACTTATTATCCAAAAAAAAATTTAAGAAAGTTTACCTTAAAGCATTATTGGCGCTCATGTTCCTTTGGAATTACCTTCCTTTGCCCTCCCTTTATCCCCTTTCCCTCTATTTCTCCAACTTGAGTAGTGATGGTGGAGGTAGAGGTGAACGTGATGGCCGTGGCAGAAGTAGTGGGGATAGTGATGAGAGCGGTGGTGTGCGTTCCCCTGACTTGATGGTAGAGCTCCCTGTGTGGAATGTTTACTACATCACCTGGAACCTCAGTCAGAACTCACTTTATGATTCAGAAGGACTGTGAAGCAGTAACATTACAAGTTGTGTGAAGTAAACTTGGGAATTTCTGAAAGAAGGAGCATTTGTTAAATACACTGTCTTACTTACTCTCTCTTCCTTTCTCTGCCATCGTGGTGTGTGCTTGACTCTGCTTCTCACCATGTCTTCTCACAAAACTCTCAGGATTAAGCGTTTCCTGGCCAAGAAACAGAAGCAAAATCGTCCCACTCCCCAGTGGATTGAGATGAAAACTGGTCATAAAATCAGGTAGAACTTCAAAAGGAGACATTGGAGAAGAACCAGGCTGGGCCTATAAGGAATTCCGCGTGAGATGGCACACGTATTTATGTTGTGTGAAGGGCCAGACCACCTTACCATGTTAAGCTGAAAATGTTACCGCCATCTGGATAGTTGGACATGTTTTATTGGGAATACATTTTTTCTCTCTGTGTGTGTGCTATGAAGGCACTGGTTGGCTGGGTTCAGTAATAAATATGCGAGGCCTTTCATTTCTGTCTCTACATATAAATATAAATATATATATATACTGTCTTACTGCTGGATGCAGGGGCTCACGTCTGTAATCCCAGCACTTTGGGAGGCCAAGACAGGAGGATTGCTTGAGGCCTGGAGTTCAAGACCAGCCTGAGCAACATATCGAGACCCATCGCTACAAAAAAAAAAGAAAGAAAGAAAAAGAAAAATTAGCTGAGCATTGTTGCACACATCTGTAGTGCTAGCTACTCAGGAGACTGAGGCAGGAGGATCACTTGAGCCCAGGAGTTTGAGGCAGTCAGCTGTAGTCAACTATGATTGTGCCATTCCGCTCCAGCCTGGGTGACAGAGCAAGATCCTGTCTTTAAAACAAATAAATAAACTGTCTTATGCCTATGTCGTAGAAATGAAAATGTAAGAAGAGTGACTATCAATTGTTTTTGTAAGTTGTGGCACTTTCAAATAGCCATTTTAGGAGACTATCCTTACTGTACAGACGGGATGTCTTCCCACCCAGTGTTACAGCACCTCAGGCCATCTGTCTAGGACACCTCCTCTATCTGCTCTGTAGATCCTACCCACCCCATCTTGCTGTCTCAGGTAACTGCCTGAGAGTTGTAGATCTTGACTGGACTGGCTTTTATAATTATTTCCCCAGCCTTCACTCCTGGCTAATATCTTTAGTTCCTAAATCTTTAATCCACAGCTGCATGCCACTCCCTCACCCCAAGGCTGGGTTAGAACAAGAGTCCTAGAGTAGGTTGCCTGAATGCTGAAGAAGTTTGGACAAGCCCAACTGTCAACTAGATATCTCCCTGAAGAGGTATCAAAGTCAACATGTTCAAAATGGAACTCACTAACCTTTCTTCCAGAATCTTCTTTGATCATCGACTTAGTTTAACTGGAATGTCTCAGAGAATTTCTTTTCCTGTGTGGTTCCAGGTTAAATTTGGCCAAGAAGAGAATCTTAATATTTAAAACTTAGGGGTTTATATTGGAACGCTATCATCATCCAGTGAGTTCACCCACAGATGCCGAAGTGCCTAGCAGGTTTCTGTTTGTCCTTTGTTCCCCACTACTCTACCTCCAGGGTTTCCTCCAGCTCCAGGTCTTGCTGACCAATAGCAGCCCCGGGCCTATTAGCTGGCACCTGTCTGTGGGCCCACAGAAGCAAACATTTCCTCTAGACTTCCCTATCAACTTCTCCTTCATGGTCCAGTTTGGGCATCTGGTCTGGATGTCCCTGGCTTCTCAGACTGACTGGATGGGGACTTCCCTGATGCCCCAACTCCTCTTCCCAGATGTTTAGTTGACCAGCTTCTCCCACAAACTAATTTTAACAATAAATCCTTTTTTCCACAATGCCTAGGGTTCTGCTTTACTGATTGAACCCTAGGTAATACAGGGACCGCCATCACCCCATCGTCCTTTCCAGGATATATGAAATTGATCACCAAGACCTGTCAGATCTGTCTCTCTCTCTCTGTTTATTTTATTTATTTATTTATTTTGAGATGGATTCTCACTCTGTTGCCAGGCTGGAGTGCAGTGGTGCCATCTCGGCTCACCGCAACCTCCTGCCTCAGCCTCCTGAGTAGCTGGGATTACAGGTGTGTGTGATCACACCAAGCTGATTTTGTATTTTTAGTACAGACAGGGTTTCACCATGTTGGCCAGGCTGGTCTCGAACTCCTGACCTCTGATGATCTGCCCACCTCGGCCTCCCAAAGTCCTGGGATTACAGGCGTGAGCCACTGCGCCCAGCCAGATCTCTCTCTTCAATACCCCTCTACCCACCCACTTGTCTCCATCCCCAGTGCTATCTCATGGTTCTAGGAGGTGAAAATATCTTGCCCAGATTTCCTAACTGCTCAATTCACTTCCAGTCTGGTTGCCTCTCAGTGCGTTCCCTTTAGAGCAGTCAAAGGAGGTGATGCCCTGACTGAGGCCCATTACTAGCTTGCCCTTGTCCTTGGGATAACCTCCCTAATGTGTTTGACAAAGCTCTGTCTCTACTGGCGTCTGCTAACTTCTCCAGCTCCATCTGTCAGCACTGCTCCTTCACCCCATGCCAATATTATGTAGAGCCATTAGATAAATTGTTGCCAGTTTGGTATTAGATTATTATAACCTGGATTTTTCTTATTTATTGTTTTTTTAAATCACACTGAGCATACAGGCACTGCATATTAATATCTAGCAGTTGGCCAGGCACGGTGGCTCATGCATGTAATCCTAGCAATTCGGGGGGCTGAGGCAGGCAGATTGCTTGAGCTCAGGAGTTTGAGACCAGTCGGGGCAACATGGCAAAACCACGTCTTTACCAAAAATACAAAAATTAGCTGGGTGTGGTGGCGCATGCCTGTGGTCCAAGCTACTCGGGAGGCTGAGGTGGGAAGATGGCTTGAACCTGGGAGGCAGAGGTTTGCAGTGAGGTGAGATTGTGCCACTGCACTCCAGCCTGGGTGACAGAGTGAGACCCCATCTCATAAAAAAAAAATGTGTATATATATATGTGTGTGTGTGTGTATGTATATTATATATATTATATATAATGTATGTAATACACACACACACATATAAACATATATATATTTGTGTATATATATGGCAGCTGCATTATCTCCATGCCACCGTAGATGTGGGAGAGAATGAGGCATCTCCTTCAGACAAGTGCCTAGTGCCTGTAAACCCCATCTCCCTAGAGTGGGGTCAGGCATCTCATAGGGTGGCTGTGGTGTTCACATCACACTTCCGCATGCAGCTATCAGGCTGGATGGTGATAAGGATAGTGGAAAGGCCCCTTACAGAAGTTAACTGGTGACTTACTGTAAACTTCTCTTTAGAAAGGCAAAAATAGAGAAAGCATAGTTCTGAGATGCTTCCCAAGAGTGAAGATGAGTATATCTCTACATAGATTCTCAGCAGATTGTTTTCTTCCAAAGTGTATTTGTTGTGTGTTAATTTTGTTTATTAATTGATCGATTATTTATTTTATTGACTTAAATAAAAATGTTGTATTTTTTATTTATTAGATATCCAATTAATGCATTCTCCTTTTTAAAGTATTCAAATAATACAGAAGTATGCAGAGGAAAAATAGAGGAAACCGCTGCCAAAAGTAGGGTGTGTATTATTCCAGACTGAGTTTTATGTATTTTTATATACACATGAAAACATACATGCTATCCATTATTAAATGTAGGTAGAATTTGCATAAAATCCATTGCTCAATTTTTAAATGTACAACTGGAAAAATTTTTGTATAGGAACTTACTTGTAGACTCCATTAAGTTTTGTTCGTTTTCTGTATTTTCTTTTTTTGTTGTTGTTGATATGGAGTCTTGCTCTGTTGCCCAGGCTGGAGTGCAGTGGTGTGATCTTGGCTCACTGCAAGCTTCGCCTCCCAGGTTTACACTATTCTCCTGGCATGGCCTTCTGAGTAGTTGGGACTACAGGCGCCTGCCACCACACCTGGCTAATTTTTTGCATTTTGTTTAGTAGAGATGGGATTTCACCGTGTTAGCCAGGATGGTCTCAATCTCCTGACTTCGTGATCCACCCGCCTAGGCCTCCCAAAGTGCTGGGGTTACAGGCATGAGCCACCGCGCCTGGCCGTTTTCTGTATTTTCTTTAGTAAACTCACAACATAATTACAATATTATTCTGTAAATGTTTTATTTCACTTACCAGTATGGAATAGGGATCTTTCAAGTCAGTACTTATCAACCTACCTATTCTTTTTAACCACTGTATTATATTCCATAGTGTATGTAAAGATGTAACATGGATTATTTAACCATTTATCTATAATAATGAAAATTTTTTTTTCCGGAACAATATTTCATAAGGAAAAGAAATACGGTAACACAGTAAGGTAGAGGATCACATAATCAATGTACAAAAACCAAAACAATTAATTTGAAAATATAAAACCAAAAATAACCTATTAGATATTATAAAAAATAATTTAAGAATAAACAAAAAAAGTTTGAGTGAAAAATGCATATGAAAAAAGCTATAAAACTCTACCAAGAACAAAAAAATATGAATAAAGGCAAAGACTCATCTTGTCCTTGGATCAGAAAACTCAGTATTGCTGGGCGCGGTGGCTGATGCCTGTAATCCCAGCACTTTAGGAGGCCGAGGCGGGTGGATTACCTGAGGTCAGGAGTTCAAGACCAGCCTGGCCAACATGGCGAAACCCTGTCTCTACTAAAAATACAAAAATTAGTTGGGTATGGTGGCGAGTGCCTGTAGTCCCAGCTACTCAGGAAGCTGAGACAGGAGAATCACTTGAACCCAGGAGGTGGAGGTTGCAATGAGCCGAGATCACACCATTGCACTGCAGCCTGGGTGACAGAGCAAGACTCTGTCTCACAAAAACAAAACAAAACAAAACAAAACAAAAAACCTCAGTATTATATAAAGTTACCATCAAAGGGGGAAAAGCAAACCATCCACAGGGAGAAGATATTTACAACATGTATATTGACAAATAACAAAGTATTCAAATCCAAAATATGTAAAGATA